AGTGTCTACAGAGACCGCCTCCGTGGTGTAGTGGATAGAGTGTCTGCAGAGACCGCCTCTGTGGTGTAGTGGATAGAGCGTCTACACAGAGACCGCCTCTGTGGTGTAGTGGATAGAGCGTCTACACGGAGATCGCCTCTGTGGTGTAGTGGATAGAGTGTCTACACAGAGACCGCCTCTGTGGTGTAGTGGATAGAGTGTCTACAGAGACCGCCTCTGTGGTGTAGTGGATAGAGCGTCTACACAGAGACCCACTCCGTGGTCAAGTGGATAGAGTGTCTACAGAGAGATCGCCTCTGTGGTGTAGTGGATAGAGTGTCTACACAGAGACCGCCTCTGTGGTGTAGTGGATAGAGTGTCTACACAGAGACCGCCTCCCTGGTCTAGTGGATATAATGTCTACACAGAGACCGCCTCCGTGGTCTAGTGGATAGAGCGTCTACACAGAGACCGCCTACGTGATCTAGTGGATAGTGTCTACACGGAGACCGCCTCCGTGGTCTAGTGGATAGTACACAGAGACCGCCTCCGTGGTCTAGTGGATAGAGAGCCTACACAGAGACCGCCTCCATGGTCAAGTGGATAGAGAGTCTACACAGAGACCGCTTCTGTGGTGTAGTGGATAAAGAGTCTACACAGAGACCGCCTCCATGGTCAAGTGGATAGAGTGTCTACACAGAGGCCGCCTCTGTGGTGTAGTGGATAGAGCGTCTACACAGAGACCACCTCTGTGGTGTAGTGGATAGAGAGTCTACACAGAGACCGCCTCCATGGTCAAGTGGATAGAGTGTCTACACAGAGACCGCCTCCGTGGTCTAGTGGATAGAGAGTCTACACAGAGACCGCCTCCATGGTCAAGTGGATAGAGCGTCTACACAGAGACCGCCTCCATGGTCAAGTGGATAGAGTGTCTACACAGAGACCGCCTCTGTGGTGTTGTGGATAGAGCGTCTACACAGAGACCGCCTCCATGGTCTAGTGGATAGAGAGTCTACACAGAGACCGCCTCCATGGTCAAGTGGATAGAGTGTCTACACAGAGACCGCCTCCCTGGTCTAGTGGATATAGTGTCTACACAGATGCCGCCTCCATGGTCTAATGGATAGAGTGTCTACACAGAGACCGCTTCCATGTTCAAATGGATAGTCTCTACACAGAGACCGGCTCCGTGGTGTAGTGGATAGAGTGTCTACACAGAGACCGCCTCTGTGGTGTAGTGGATAGAGTGTATACACAGAGACCGCCTCTGTGGTGTAGTGGATAGAGTGTCTACACTGAGACCACCTCTGTGGTGTAGTGGATAGAGTGTCTACACAGAGACCGCCTCCATGGTCAAGTGGATAGAGTGTCTACACTGAGACCACCTCTGTGGTGTAGTGGATAGAGTGTCTACACAGAGACCGCCTCCATGGTCAAGTGGATAGAGTCTCTACACTGAGACCACCTACGTTATCTAGTGGATAGAGTATCTAGACAGAGACCGCCTCTGTGGTGTAGTGGATAGAGTGTCTACACAGAGACCGCCTCCATGGTCAAGTGGATAGAGTGTCTACACTGAGACCACCTACGTTATCTAGTGTATAAGTGACTACACCGAGACCGCCTCCGTTGTTTAGTGGATAAAGTGTCTACACAGAGACCACCTCCGTGGTCTAGTGAATAGAGTGTCTACACAGAGACCGCCTCCGTGGTCTAGTGGATAGAGTGTCTACACAGAGACCGCCTCTGTGGTGTAGTGGATAGAGTGTCTACACAGAGACCGCCTCCCTGGTCTAGTGGATATATTGTCTACACAGAGATCGCCTCCGTGGTCTAGTGGATAGAGAGTCTACACAGAGACCGCCTCCATGGTCAAGTGGATAGTACACAGAGACCGCCTCCGTGGTCTAGTGGATAGAGAGCCTACACAGAGACCGCCTCCATGGTCAAGTGGATAGAGAGTCTACACAGAGACCGCCTCCATGGTCAAGTGGATAGAACGTCTACACAGAGACCGCCTCTGTGGTGTAGTGGATAGAGAGTCTACACAGAGACCACCTCTGTGGTGTAGTGGATAGAGAGTCTACACAGAGACCGCCTCCATGGTCAAGTGGATAGTACACAGAGACCGCCTCCGTGGTCTAGTGGATAGAGAGCCTACACAGAGACCGCCTCCATGGTCAAGTGGATAGAGAGTCTACACAGAGACCGCTTCTGTGGTGTAGTGGATAGAGAGTCTACACAGAGACCGCCTCCTTGGTCAAGTGGATAGAGTGTCTACACAGAGACCGCCTCTGTGGTGTAGTGGATAGAGTGTCTACACAGAGACCACCTCTGTGGTGTAGTGGATAGAGAGTCTACACAGAGACCGCCTCCATGGTCAAGTGGATAGAGTGTCTACACAGAGACCGCCTCCGTGGTCTAGTGGATAGAGAGTCTACACAGAGACCGCCTCCATGGTCAAGTGGATAGAGCGTCTACACAGAGACCGCCTCCATGGTCAAGTGGATAGAGTGTCTACACAGAGACCGCCTCTGTGGTGTTGTGGATAGAGCGTCTACACAGAGACCGCCTCCATGGTCAAGTGGATAGAGAGTCTACACAGAGACCGCCTCCATGGTCAAGTGGATAGAGTGTCTACACAGAGACCGCCTCCATGGTCAAGTGGATAGAGTGTCTACACAGAGACCGCCTCTGTGGTGTAGTGGATAGAGCGTCTACACAGAGACCGCCTCCATGGTCAAGTGGATAGAGTGTCTACACAGAGACCGCCTCTGTGGTGTAGTGGATAGAGAGTCTACACAGAGACCACCTCTGTGGTGTAGTGGATAGAGAGTCTACACAGAGACCGCCTCCATGGTCAAGTGGATAGAGTGTCTACACAGAGACCGCCTCTGTGGTGTAGTGGATAGAGAGTCTACACAGAGACCACCTCTGTGGTGTAGTGGATAGAGAGTCTACACAGAGACCGCCTCCATGGTCAAGTGGATAGAGTGTCTACACAGAGACCGCCTCCGTGGTCTAGTGGATAGAGAGTCTACACAGAGACCGCCTCCATGGTCAAGTGGATAGAGCGTCTACACAGAGACCGCCTCCATGGTCAAGTGGATAGAGTGTCTACACAGAGACCGCCTCTGTGGTGTTGTGGATAGAGCGTCTACACAGAGACCGCCTCCATGGTCAAGTGGATAGAGAGTCTACACAGAGACCGCCTCCATGGTCAAGTGGATAGAGTGTCTACACAGAGACCGCCTCCATGGTCAAGTGGATAGAGTGTCTACACAGAGACCGCCTCTGTGGTGTAGTGGATAGAGCATCTACACAGAGACCGCCTCCATGGTCAAGTGGATAGAGTGTCTACACAGAGACCACCTCCATGGTCAAGTGGATAGAGTGTCTTCACAGAAACCGCCTCCATGGTCAAGTGGATGGAGTGTCTACACTGAGACGGCCTCCGTGGTGTAGTGGATAGAGTGTCTACACAGAGACCGCCTCTGTGGTGAAGTGAATAGAGCGTCTACACAGAGACCGCCTCCGTGGTCTAGTGGATATAGTGTCTACACAGAGACCGCCTCCATGGTCTAGTGGATAGAGTGTCTACACAGAGACCGCTTCCATGGTCAAATGGATAGAGTGTCTTCACAGAGATTGCCTCTGTGGTGTAGTGGATAGAGTGTCTACACAGAGACCGCCTCCCTGGTCAAGTGGATAGTGTCAACACAGAGACCGCCTCCCTGGTCTAGTGGATAGAGAGTCTACACAGAGACCGCCTCCCTGGTCTAGTGGATATAGTGTCTACACAGATGCCGCCTCCATGGTCTAGTGGATAGAGTGTCTACACAGAGACCGCTTCCATGGTCAAATGGATAGTCTCTACAGAGACCGCCTCTGTGGTGAAGTGAATAGAGCGTCTACACTGAGACCGCCTCCCTGGTCAAGTGGATAGTGTCTACACAGAGACCGCCTCCCTGGTCTAGTGGATAGAGCGTCTGCACAGAGACCACCTCCGTGGTCTAGTGGATAGAGTGTCTACACAGAGACCGCCTCCGTGGTGTAGTGGATAGAGTGTCTACACAGAGACCGCCTCTGTGGTGTAGTGGATAGAGTGTCTACACTGAGACCACCTACGTTATCTAGTGGATAGAGTATCTACACAGAGACCGCCTCTGTGGTGTAGTGGATAGAGTGTCTACACAGAGACCATCTCCATGGTCAAGTGGATAGAGTGTCTACACTGAGACCACCTACGTTATCTAGTGGATAAGTGACTACACCGAGACCGCCTCCGTGGTCTAGTGGATAGAGTGTCTACACAGAGACCACCTCTGTGGTCTAGTGAATAGAGTGTCTACACAGAGACCGCCTCCGTGGTCTAGTGGATAGAGTGTCTGCACAGAGACCACCTCCGTGGTCTAGTGGATAGAGTGTCTACACAGAGACCGCCTCTGTGGTGAAGTGGATAGAGTGTCTACACAGAGACCACCTCCGTGGTCTAGTGGATAGAGCGTCTACACTGAGACCGCCTCCATGGTCTAGTGGATAGAACACCTGTCTGGAGATAGGAAGGATGGTGACTTAGTTCCTAAATGTGTCATACTAAAAGGCTAGAAGATGGTACTTGTTGTTACCCTGCCTGGCACTCGGCATTAAGGGGCTAAAACAAGGACTTGTTCGCTAGGAATCAGTATACTGTGTCTGAGTGCGGTAGACCTTAAACCCCATTTCACCAGCATCACCTCACCTCACCTATATGTACTAAGTATCATTGGTCCAATTCATAGTGAGTGAGTATGGTTTTATGCCGCTTTTAGCAATATTCCAGCAATATCATGGCGGGGGACACCAGAAATGGGCTTCACACATTGTACCCATGTCAGGAATCGAACCCGGGTCTCTGGTGTGACGAGTTAACGCTTTAACCACTAGGCTACCCAGCATCACCTCACCTCACCTCACCTATATGTACTAAGTATCATTGGTCCAATTCATAGTTTACTGACAAACAACACTTTCACAAAAGATATTATTTTATTTTATTTGACATATTAGACACAATAAACACAGATATGCAACAACAGCATCAAGTCACACCCACGCTCAGACCTTCCACAGAACATAGAACATTAATAGTGTCACAGTCATATCCGTTAGCCAATGTACAAATACTACCCTAAAAAAATGACCGGCCATGTTTTCATTGATGATTCTTAAACAGTTATGCAAAGGAAGGCATGTAACTGTACATGTATTGTCATTTCCTGTCCGGGTCGTCTTCAATGCAGCTTACAGCTCTAATGCAGGACAGGTTACATCTAACAGTTTCTCTTTCCAAGTAGTGACTGAGTGAGTGAGTGATTATGTTTTACGCCGCTTTTAGCAATATTCCAGCAATATCACGGCAGGCTACCCGACCGCCCCTCTTGCCAAGTAAGATGTAAACATTGTAAAGATGATACTATAGTGACCCAGGCATTCTCTCTCACTCTCAGGGTGTGAGTTGTATAGATGACATTCACAAAGAAATGAAGTTGATGAATGAACGGCTCTCCACTCGCAGGACAGATTATCTCCCCTTGACAGGGCAGACAAAATGGCCGTTTCACAAGAACACTAGTGTGGCTTCTGATTTGATGGGAATTTGGTTTTAATTACCTTTCTGTCCACTCATCACTGTCATCAGGAATACAGTATCAGAAGGTTGTCTTGGTTACTGACAACTACCATGGTAACCAAATGTCACAACATCAATAGGGAGTACTGTGATGAGTGAGATATCCAGTTTTATCAGCCATGTTGCAACACAAAGTCTTTATCCAAGTTTGTAACACGTTCTGTTATTTCACATATTTCTCCATAAACTTTTTATGAAACTCTGATCGGAGCGTGTCATTGACGAAGCCCCTCGTCTTGCGCTCTTCCTCCCCTTTAGCACAGTTCTTGAAGACCACGTCATCGTCCCATCTGAAACATGAGGACATGTAGCGCGTCACAAGATGTACATCTGCATAGTGTTAGAGTAACTTCTTTGAAAGGCATTAAGAAGTTGGAGTACCATGTAAGGATAAGATTAACAACTTCTTTATTACTATTAGGAGACCCATGAAGATACGGAGAAGAATAGGTCTTCAGCAACCCATGCATGCCGTAAAAGGCGACTATGCTTGTCGTAAAAGGCGACCAACCGGATCGGGAGGTCAGGCTCGCACACTTGGTTGAGGCATGTCATCGATCCCAATTACGTGGATCGATGCTCATGATATCAGTAACTGGATTGTCTGGTCTAGACTCGATTATCTACAGACCGCCGTCATATAGCTGGAATATTGCTGAGTGCGGCGTTAAACAACAAACCCAAAACAATTACCGTATTTTCTTGAGTATAGTGCGCACCCATGTATAATGCGCACCCCCCTCTAGCGGGTTCAATATTTTGGAAAAAAAGAAATTTGAATATTCTGCGCAGAAAAAAATTACACCGTACCGGTAGAAGCAATGTTTTGGTGTAGGTTCTAACACTGATGTCAAGTAAGTGATGTACAGAGCACGAGACCGCTCAGAGGGAGCAGCCAGTTTACATTTATACATAACATTTATGAGACTTTTGAAAAATGATTGTAGTCCGCGATTAAATGGACCAACATGCAAAAGATTGAGTGTGGCTGCTTCTTTGAAAGAAAGAAATGGTATGTCTTCTTGCAGTGGAAAACAAAACGCATTCTGTTCCAACAAAAATCCCAGGATTATGTTAAAGTACAGGTTAAACCATACCTCCTTTTCACTTTAAATTCTGTCACAGGTTTCTCTCCATCCTTGTTGATGAGGGGATTTCCACGGAGGATGTTCTCTGTGCGGATCCTTTCCTCCTCCTGTTTACGATCAGCGTCCTGGCAACAGACGGAAAACACACACTTCAATACAAACGTTGGTATATTTAATTAGGAAGTGACTTCAGTGAGTTTATTTATGTAGAAACCAGGGTGCACGCTGTGTGAAAAAAACAAATACAGTGATCCCTCGCTATTGGGCTCTTCGATAAAGCGCTACCTCTGTTACTACGTGCGGTATCGCATGGCTCCCAAAATTTATGTACACTTTTAATACTGAGAGTTTTACACAGACATGATTGTATTGTTGTTCGTTGTTCATTTGCACATTACGCTTCTCATTGCATAATCAACCGTTTATCGCTGAAAGGAGTTCTAATAATCTGTTTGAAAACATCCGCGGCAAGTCCCAGAAATACGATTGTTCTGTAAGTTAACTTTTTACACTATACATCCTTTGATCTTAGAAGCGCATGCATGCATTGCAGCAATAAAAGAGAACAACAAGCGAAGTTTATTTTCTTAATTAGTGGGCAATCCAATTTGAGGCGACACTGTCAACTCACATGTAGTTGCTGTCACAACACGGCGGTCATTCCTTTTGATTCGGATCAAGTAACCGTATCAAACCAATTAATCTGGCTTGAATGTGTATCTATATTTGCATGAATGTGTATGAATGCACATAGTGCTGTTCAAAACTCTCATTTTCCGTATTTTAAGCAACATGACCAATCAATGCCACTGAAACTTCCGTACTCTGTGTAATGAATTGTGATTGGCTCTTCACTCATAGCGTCTGTTACTACCATTATCGATCGATATTTTCATGTAAGTAGACTACATTCACATTGAATGTGACAGTTAAGGCTTGTAAATAATAACAAACAGCGAAAACATAATAGATATATATTTTTAAATTATGAATGGTAAACAACTTGTATCATTGCAATGTGAGAGACAAGGCGAAAGATCTGGGATTGGCCGAGCGCGCTCCCCCGCCTCGTCCTCGGTTAAACGGCTCATCGTCTATAACGCCCACCAATTATTTGGACCCCATTGGTAGCGTTGTAGCGAGGGACCACTGTATATGCAAATGTTTTATCGTTTTACTTTTACATGGAGGCAAACAACACAACAATTGCTGGGCTAGCCAATCAAATGCCACAACAATTGCTGGGTTAACCAATCAAATGCCACAACAATTGCTGGGCTAGCCAATCAAACGCCACAGAACTGTTTGCAACATAAACTTATATCACCGTCTCTTGTAAATTGAGCTTCATACCCTCATGGCTTCTGAAACCTTCACAGCTGTCAAACTGACATTTTGGCCACTTTGGTGTAAGAATGAAGCCAGGTTTGACCTTGTTATGGTACAGTGAGTGAGTGAGTTAGTATGGTTTTACGCCGCTTTTAGCAATATTCCAGCAACATCAGAGCGGGGAACACCAGAAATGCCCTTCACACATTGTACCCACGAGGGGAATCGAGCCCGGGTCTTCAGCATGATGAGCGAAGGCTTTAACCCCTGGACTACCCGACCACCCCAGCAAGCAAGCAGGGATTTCTAAAGATTCCAAACTTGGCACGTAAACTTGGAATAAAAAATGTTATTTTGTTTAAATTTTTACTGGCAATTGCTTGAGATTTGGGGCCAAATATCAGCCTCAGACCCTGTGAAGTTAAAGCTTTTGCTAAAGCTGAAAGGTACTAGAAGTATGGTTATTATCATGAAACATGGAAACTGGTTGAATTCACAACAGGGTTGGAAATTGGCACTAGTCCTATAGTGCTTGCCAAACTGCCCTATGTTTAAGGTATCATGAGGACCAGTAGAAATGGGCAATTTGTAAGGGTTTTGCTATATGTTATCATTATAAGGAGGAGTGAACTGCGTAACCTGTGTAAAGCTGCTCTCTAAGCTCCAAGTTACAATTAAGATGTTGTTGTTTTTTAAAAACTCACCATCTTGGCCCTCTCCGTGGCTCTCTCCTTCTTGATTTTGTTCAGCTCTGCTAGGAGTTCTGCTGTGTCATCCTCATCATCAGAGTCATCGTCCTCATCCTGCCGACACAAGAAGACGTGAACCATCACAAACAAGAAGACAGCGTTATCGTGGCTATCACTATCCCTTGCCATGAGGCACATTAGAAGTTTGTTTGTTGATATAGTAGTGAACATAACTATGAAAAAGGTCCCTCATAAAGCCTTATGAAGAGAGACGCACTAGTATCCAAGGTACTTTTAAGCTCCTTAATGAGCAGTGTTAATTGGTGTTAATTACAGGAGTGTAACAGTCGTTACCTCTTCACCTGAACTACGGCAATCCCCTCGTTCTTTGGTGCTGACAGTCTGGGATGTGCGAGAGGTACAAGGTCAGTACCCGAGGGCCTTGGATAAATTACCGTAGTTCTCCCAATGAGCACAAAGAGCGTTCTTTGTCGATGGCTTTTATTCAATCACAAGATTGATCACCAACTTATGGTCACGATGTTCTAATGGACTTTAGCCGCGAAGCTTCAGTCCTGGCCGAAATACTGGAGGTATAATCTGGTGTTTCCAAGAGTAAGTTCGAGACCGTGGTGCTCAAGTGGGATCCTCCAGCTCCCCGAACCTTGGGTCTCCCCGTCTTTTTACCCCCAGCTTACGTCAAGGTTTTACCTATTTTTTCATATTCTATTGGTCAACCACCTTTCCCCCCTCACCTTAGGTCGTTCTTCCCCACTCTTATCTAATAACCAGAACCTTATTCGGCTTGGTCTGATGTAGCTTCTCACCCTTTTGGAATTCGAACTATTCCCCCCCCCCCCCCCCCATACCATATATGTCTCAAGTCCCTGACGTTTCCGTCCCTCTCATCTCTGTTCCACTTTTTATCTATTTCCCCCTCTGGTTAATCGTTTTTCAATAATGTATAGCCCTCGACCTACTAGCCTCACCCCTGGTTACTCGTGGCCAAGTATGATACCGTATTCTTCAACTATCAAAGTTGCCCATCTCCTATATATATATTCCCATCTTAATGCATTGTTAATTACTTTAATTATTTGTTAATTATCTAAATATATATTGCACTTTCATGCCCATAATACTAGGGTCGCTTTTTGTCATCAGAAAAAATTATTAAAAGTGAAATTACTACAAACAAAAGCTCCTTCGCAAGAAGAAATAACTCGGTCTTGATAAGTATCTCTTAGATCAGCTAACTTCCGTAGTTTCTAGAAAACTTGTGCTCAATGAAGACAATGCACCAAGTAAAATAACATGGATCAGGGGCTATAACTCTGTAAACAAATAATTGACAGGACCAATATTCAAACTCAGTCTAAGTATCTCTTAGATAAGCATGCAAACTTCCATTCATGCAACTGAAGTAGTTTCTGGGAATACTTGTCTGCATTGCACACACTATGCACTAGGTTGAAAAGCATGGAGCAAGGATCATAAAAAAAGACTGTAAGACACTCATTTTCGAACTCATTTCAGATCATGACCAGTAACATCAGTGTGTAAAATTTTGTTTCTCCAACTTGAATAGTTTTTGAGAAAATTTGTCTACATTGAGAAACCGACTGACGGACACACGGTAGTCTTACATTGAGATAAGGTATTCTGACACTGAGATAAGGTATTCTGACACTGAGATAAGGTATTCTTACACTGAGATAAGGTATTCTTACACTGAGATAAGGTATCCTTACACTGAGATAAGGTATTCTTACACCGAGATATGGTATTCCTACACCGAGATATGGTATTCCTACACCGATATACACCAACATAAGTTCCTAGGGCACTCACTTCATCGTCCACTGGGTCATCAGCATCCAGGTTGGCGGCAGGAATCTGCTCCAGACGAGGACGCTTGCTGCTGGAGGAGGAATCTACAATAAAACAAACACTCTCATTTTAAACATATCAGTCCAGGTGAGTGAGTGATGTCAGTCATTCTTGAGGTGAGGTCAAATGGGGTTTAACGTCGCGTCCAAGATTATTGCGCTTATATAGCGACGTGCATGCTCGTGTGTGGCTGCTTGTACTAGTATATACTGATGCCGATTTATAGTGCTAGCTCACTGAGATACCATGAATACCCAACTCAGACACAGTATACTGACTCCGAGCCGACCAGTCCTTGTTTAAGCCCCTTAATGCCGAGCGCCAGACAGGGTAACATCAAGTACCATCTTTTAACTTCTTTTGCAATGACGCGGTCGGGGATCAAACCCCTGACTTTCTGCTCTCCGGGCGGATGTTCTACCATTAGACCACGGAGGCGGTCCAGCCATTCTTGAAGATCTCAGTACAAAGATGTACCTCACATGTTCCTCCTGTCATCCCCGCCACACCAACAGAAGGTTACCCTACGACCTGACACCGAGATTATCAAGAATGGCACTCGAGTTCATACTGACAAATTCTACAAAATCACAGAAAGGACATAATGTCGGTTGGCAATCTATCCAAACACTATGGATTCTGTTAATGAGTGAGTGAGTGAGTGAGTTTGGTTTTACGCCGCTTTTAGCAATATTCCAGCAATATCACGGCGGGGGACACCACAAATGGGCTTCACACATTGTACCCATGTCGGGAATCGAACCCGGGTCTTCGGCGTGACGAGCAAACGCTTTAACCACTAGGCTACCCGACCGCCCCGATTCTGTTACTGAATTTGACATTGGACATGAATTTGTAATTGGACAGAAAATTGAGAGAATAAACTTAAATCTTTTCTTTTATCAATTATTTACCGTCGTTATTGGTAAATGTTATGTTTGTGGCATGTTTTATGGGATCTGTTTTAGTTGTCTGAAAGAGCAAGTGGAAAATATTTGATTTTGTATTCAGATATTCATTTTCTTCAGTCTGTTGTCCGCCATCTTCCCTGTCGTAAGCTCCAAGGACTGAACAGACCAAGTCTTAATTTGTGTCATGAATTTAAGAGAACTTAGATCTTTTATGACAATCTTAGCACCATGGCAGCTTCCTGAGTCTGCCATCCGGTCTGTCAGTGTGACTTACCCCTGTTCCTGTCTCTCTTCTCCCGGGCTGATCGCTCTCGGTCATCGAGTTCACGGCGGAAGTCACGCCTACTTGTTTCATCTATGGTTCCCTGACCTTCTTGCCTGGAAAAAAATAGAAAAGGAATATTTTCACAAAAGAATTGTACTTCAAATAATATAAGCACATTTGTATCATAGAAGTTTACAACTTGTAATTTCAGTTATATTGTGAATTTGTACAAATATGACAATTGTTAGCATATCGTTATGTGCAAAACTTGAGTGTAAAAGCAACTCAGAAATTTAACAAGTCAAGGTTTTTGCATACTTCCCATTTGGACAAAATTTAATTCATATTATTTCAGACTATGTTCCACCACAACCCTTAAGTACTGATAATGTACGTCATTTGAAGACTGAGAGCGTGCCTAGAACGTTCTCTGCCAGCTGGACCAACATACTGCATCACAGTCCACCAGCATCACCAGCTACATCAATTCCACCAGTTCTATCCATTCTAGACCCGTGAAGATCCGGGGTGGAATAGGTCTTCACCAACCCATGCTTGTCGTAAGAGGTGACTAACGTGACTGGGTGGTCAGGCTTGCTGACTTGGTTGATGCATGTCATCAATCCCAATTGCGTGGAGCAATGCTCATGATATTAATCACTGGATTGTCTGGTCCAGACTCGATTATTTACAGACCGCCGTCATATAGCTGAGTGCGGTGTTAAACAACAAACCAACCAACTATCCATTCTAGGAGTGAGTGAGTATGTTTTACGCCGCTTTTAGCAATATTCCAGCGATATCACGGCAGGGGACACCAGAAATGGGCTTCACACATTGTACCCATGTCGGGAATCGAATTCGGGTCTTCGGCGTGATGAGCGAACGCTTTAACCACTTGGCTACCCGACCGCCCCTCCATTCTAGGAAATACATCCACTTTTAACATTCAGGCTTTCAGTGGTTCAATAGGATATCCAATTGTTAAAGACAGGTCATACTGGAAGCTAATTGGGGGAACCCAAATGTATCAGCATTTGTTTCACTCACCTGTACTTAAGCTTGGTGTGAGAGGGTAAATCTCGACTGGAGTACTGTTTAGACAAAGCACTCAAGTCACCTTCACCTTTGCCCCGTCCACCGCGGGCTGTATCCCAGGTAGGTCTGGCAGCTGTTGTCATGGTTACCTAGATGTCCTCTGCAAAAGAAAATCCCTGATTCTTATCCTAGACTGTTCAATATATCAAGTGATCCTTGAAAACATTTGGGATCCCATCTTATCCTGATACAATCATGAAATAATCAAATAGAATAACAGTTAGGCTAACATGGTCTTCTTATCATCGAATGCTGATGACATGGGAGCAATATTCTAGACAGATTTTGTTATGCATTATAAATATTGAACTCGATTCAAACTTCCACCACTGTACTTATGATCAAGTTTGTAAAGATTCAGATAGAATGTATTAGTTTTATTGATACTGGGACCACACTTCATCATGATGCATGTATGACAGATGTCAATAACTGATCCTGATGCGCTGTAAGTAACATAAATATTATTGTCCGTCCTTCGGGACACAGTTTATTCTTATTCTGCATACATGATCAACATTTTTGCATACTGGACACACATTTGTGAATCTGTAAAACCCTGAACTACTGACACGACTGAGAAGTCTGTGGGATGCCCCCATGGTTGGTGTCACTAGGAAAGAATAGTGGATCAATGTCAATGCAACTTATATTTGCAGTTCTTGTCAATTGTACTGAATTGTTTAATTCTAAGAAAGGAAGCTGTATTTCAAGAACTAAGAATGTAGGGGTTGAAAATGAATCATTGTAAAGTGGTAGAAATCAAAGGAGGTTCATGATAACCTTAGGAATCCTTTGACCAATCATTTTTATATCAGTAGGGTTAGGATTTTCAACACAGGCTCAATTTCGAACACTGTAAAGCATTTATATATTCTCCTCATTTGTATGATGCAGAATCCATTCAGTCAACAACTTCAATGACTTTTTCATCACATTACATCCAAGAACTGAATCCGCTCATCGAAAACACATGACAGCATTGGGAGACTTATGTCATGATAAGCTGGGAGTCTACATCATGAGGGAGTCCAATAATGAAACCTCTCCTTCCTTGCTTACTTACTTCATCTTCCATTACAACAGATCATTATTAACAAGCCGATCCCTGAACGGTCAGCAGAAACAGGTAATACAACAATGTTGGTTCTCTAAATGAGCAGAATGTAGCCTACTTGTAGCCATGTGAGGAATACACTCATTGGTAACAGTTCAAATCGTGCATGATACACGTTATCTCACGTTATATCATGAGAAGAGAGGCGAAAATGAGACATATATGGCATTATAAAGGATCTCGATCAGGGAAAGAATAACATTTATCGGGAAGTATATAACTATTTAGACTTCATGTAGTGAAAAGGAACGATCAGAGTCTTACTTAGTGAAAGGAAGATTGATCGTATTCATTACATATGTATATGCGCGAAATCCGAAGGACTTCAAAAACGAATTCTGAACACAAAACACTGAATGTGCGTGTTCTAAATACATTAATAGACATGGAATTTAAAAAATCGTAATGTGTATAATCTAGAAATCACTCATACTTGTTCACACAAGATTAACACGTCACAACATAAGCGCTTGCAACTCTGTGGTATTTTTTCTTGTTGATGTTCAACACGCTCACAGGGCGGCCATTTTCTCATCTAAAGGAAAACTGTTATCGTCAAGACTACTTCTATTTATGTATGAATACATCTTTACTCTTGTGAACCTCTTGCTGTAATGTTAAAAGGGAACAGACAGATGAATCATACAATACCCATAGCTGTAATTCACGTGGGATCAAGTAAGAAAGCGGTATTATATATCTCTATGAGACTTTGATGGTTGCTTTGATCTCTATATATATCATGTAAATTTCCTTGAATGAAAAATATTTTGAAGACATTTTTATTTGAAGAGTTCAGTGAATAAATTCAAATTTAAATTGTCAATAGAAAGAAGTAGCCTGCATGACCTAACACACACACACACACACACACACACACACACACACACACACCTTAAATATACCTTCAGAGGAGTGGAATTTTCCTAAAATGACATGTTTTTTAATACTTTTTTACATAGTGTCATGTGCATGGGTAATATTTATATGAAACATAGATTCGGAGGAGAGGAACTTTGGAGAGTTGGTTGTATTCCCGTTCCATGCCCTTTAATAAGCCTGATATAATATTTACTCGAAATTATCAAAATGCCAGAAACATCACGGCAGGGGATATAGAGAATGGACATACTGTACCCACATGGGGAGTCGAACCAGAACCTGGGTATATGACGAGCGAACTGATGAACCGCCTGGCTACAGTATTGCAGCCTTACTCCCATACCGTTAACGCACATCTTGGCATGTATGAATGGCCCCATATCGGCCCAGATCTGTTCCCCTTGACTCGATTGTTTTTCATCGTATTGAATCACGACTGTCACATGACAACCCTGCGACTGCGGATACTTGAATATGCCATGACAGTTTAAAGTCCCCCACTTTAGTTTATTGTTGTTGTTGTTGTTGTTGTTGTATAACACCGCACTCTGTAATAATCTGTAAATAATCGAGTCAGGACCAGACAATCCAGTGATTGATATCATGAGCATCGATCCATACAATTGGGATACGATGACACGCATAAACCAAGTCAGCGAGCCTGACCACCTGATCCCGCTAGTCGCCTCTTACCACAAGCATAGTCGCCTTTTACGGCAAGCATTGGTTGCTGAAGACCTTTTCTACCCCGGATATTTATGGGCATCCCGCGCTTTAAAGTCCACACGTGCTGTATTGGGAAAGAAAGCATCAAGAGCTGTATACTGAGCATGACATTTAAATAGAACTATCCCCCGTCTAAAGAAAACATTAAATTTATTTTAATATTCTTTAATCAATAATATCGCAGCGCCGATAAACAGACCACCCTTGTAGGGGTCCTACTACCTAAAAGCTAACCACTGTAGCTAGGGCTGTTCTCCCCTCAGGGCCGAGTAGCCATTGAGTGTTTTAAAAAAGACCATGTTTCAATATTTTAGTACTGATAATAATGTATGTTGTGAAACATCCTCATGTATAAATAGATTATTACATAGTGCGTATCGCACTGATTGAGATTGGTATTTATCGAGTACAACGTGGTAACAATATATCATTAATTTCATATCTTAGTTCTCGCTACCGCTAAACAAAGATCTAAGATCTGATTTTAATGAGGTAAGTAATGGGAAGTAAGGAACTTTTTCGTTAGTCTGCAATTTTGACCCAATCTTATTAAACAAACTATCTGGGAAATAGCAAGTCGGTCGTAAACCTTTTTTCAAAATTCACAAGGATGGTGTTCCCAATATCACTACAGTTGGCGTAAGAGGGCTAATTTCAAGATTCCTGTAATGGCCATGCGCACTGGTGACAACACCGGGAGGGTAACGAAGGTGTCACGCGCTACCTGTTGTTCTGTTTCTATATACTGCAATGTTTGTACAGAGACTAGATATATTTTAGCTACAGCTGCAAAACCAGATATTTGAAAAATAAAATAATTGTTTTTAAAAACTGGGAGCCTATTTTTTATTTACTATTGTAGATTTCTGCAAGCCAATTTACATAAAAGTTGCTGTTAAACTAAACTCATGAAAAACACGTTTAAGATTTATCATTTTGTTCAAATCCATAGTTACCCCAATTAGGTTTCAGTTAAAGGCGTCAGCGATCACTGTCACAGTTAACAGTTTTTGTGAAGATGTTCCTGTAAAATCCTGTAAACAGGGGGCCATTAGAGGCTTGTTCTGTTTAAATGTGCATTGAGTTTTAAACTGTGGCGTAGCCAAGTGGTGAAAACGTTCGTTCGTCACGCCGAAGACCCGGGTTCGATTCCCCACATGGGTGCAATGTGTGAAGCCCATTTCTGGTGCCCCCCGCCATGATATTGCTGGAATATTTCTAAAAGCGGCGTAAAACCATACTCACTCACTCACTTAAACGGTGGGTTAGGTTGTTTGTCCCTGATAATGTTTGTTTCATATAATAATGCCATCAGAATAATCTTGTTCACTGTATATATGTTTATACATCTTTCGCCAAACTACTGCATATAATATATGGCACACAACTAATTAGATACTGGAAGGCACGTATTAAATAAACGGACACCTAAAATTGACAATCATTATTAAAGAAATGCGTGATATGTGACTGACAAAATATGAACAAATGATACTTGTTCTTTAGAAAACCTGTATATTTTTTTGGGTCATCTTATTACCTTTTTGCACAGAAATACATTTTATTAATTATATAAGGCTATACCAGCCGAAGATGAGGTAAGGAACTCAAATATCCAATGGTAAAGGTATCTGTAATCACAATACCACAGCAGTCTAGGAAATTACCACATTTTAGAAGGCTAGCCTCCATCATACAGCCTCGTCAGTTTCTACCGCTGATAAGGGTCTTATTGCAGTCGACTGTTTCTCCTAACAGTCCACTGATGGCGGGATAGCGGGATAATGATGAATTGTCTGCTTCCCCCAGATGTGAAATATATGCCTGTTCTGTTACGTCAATCACGAAATACAGGTGCGTGCAATACACATGAACGCGCGTCTCGTGCAAATCTGTCGTCCCAGCCCAGCTGTGAGCGGCGAGCAAAACAGTGAGAGGTGCCACTGGCACTTTAATGTGTTTCTACCTTTTCTTATTCATCTATCAACACCCTTTTTGCAATTTCAGTACCATAACGGACGGAAACATTTTTCTTCGATTATGTCTTCACAAATCTGTTTTTGAAAAAAACAGAAGCATACGCTACTGCGATCTATTAATTTTCCGCTCAGAGAGAGTGCACTGGTCGTGCGTGTGTGTTTAGCCGCAATCAACAACATATGTCGGTAGGTCTTAGTTGTGTAGAAGTCTAACGATGATACGGGTAAATTTCTAGCGCATCTAGAATGTGTATAAAGAAGTTCTGATTACGCAAGCTGGTGTTCATTAAGATTCTCACAAACTCTGTTTTATGTCATTTGAGATGAAAGGATGAAAACTGGTGAGAAAAACTTTCTACGTTTTTCCTTCGCTTCAGGGGTTAAAGAATATAAATCTTCACCTCTTTCTGGACTGAATGAGTCGGAATACCCAACGATATAAATAATTAAATGAGAAACGTTTGATGTTAATTACTGTGATATATACATGTAGGTACGATAAGGTGAATGAAGATGAATCGACGATTACAGGGAGTGGCCTTTTTGTATCTTCCTTTCTATGCACGTGTTCATAAGTGATGATTGGATGATCAATGTGTTTGTTGTAAAAATACAATGCTTGATTGCATGAAACGCATATTAAATAAAATACGTATAGCAGATATATGTTATTAGTTAAATAAACAAGAATGATGGTAGGACATGTTACTAAACACATGCACTTGTATCAAGTATCGATATTTGTGGGAAATATGTCTCTGGTATGACTCTCAAAAAGTAAAAATCCTTACAATTTTGCATGAATTATGTTAAAATCGTCACACTGATACCCCATCAGCCAAAAGGCAATATCAAAAATCGCCGTATTAATTCTTTTGTATTTCATTTCAAGTGAAAAAATTATAATCATCCTGCTACTTTAGGTTTGATGGAAAAAACAACAATTAATTTTTATACAGCTAACTCGTCAAACATATTTACGTAACAAGCAAATCCACGCAGAAAAATGACTATATTAAGTACAGGTATATAGAACGAATGGTTCTTACTAAACACATTCATTGATTCTTTTTATGTAATTTCTTACTTTAATTAGAAAATGTAAAAGCGTTTTTACATCTTTTGTTATTAGGAAAATATTATTTTCACGTTATTGATGATCGTCTTAATTCCGTGACCGAGGTGTAGCTAAAACGGAAAGAACGATCTGGGAGAATGCAATTTCTCTTTTGAGTCCCAAGAATCCCTATTAGGCCGGGCTGTAATATCAGTTGGGTGGATTCAGCTGGCTAAAACATAAAAGTGTCAGCGATCAAATTAAAATGCTCAATACGTCAAGATTAAAAACGATGAAAAGATACGGAAAAGAATTGGTAAGCAAAGCTTGCGTAATTATTGTGTAAAGTGTGACAGATTTATTAGAAAATGTGGACTTGATGATTTTAAAGAAATGTGACAGTTTCATCACATCGCAGTTCCATCCGGGAAATAGATAGATAGAGAATAAAGATGAAACATAAATCATGTTCATCAGGAAGTGAATTCTATTATTGAACAAACCAAAGCTTGAATAATATTTATATAGCCGCATAAATGAAGGATTTCAATGTTGTTCTTCATCACCTTAATACGATGTTTCATTACGTCAGTTTAAACTTTATAAATACGGAAGCCCGTGTCTTGAATACGTCCCTCGGAACATCTTAATACGCAGAACCTGTCAACGAAAAAGGCACAGAGTGACGCTTACAATTAGTTCTCAGGATTTAGAGGGAGGTCTCCAACGAATTAGATTTTGAGTGACCATAATACGAACACTACAATAATTCCAATAATTTTTTAAATAAATAAATAAATAAATGGTGATAGAATGAATGAATGAATTAATGAATGAATGAATGGAGACTCGGTGTTCACGAAAAACGGAAAGAGTGACGCTGACAATTAGTTCTCAGGATTTAGAAGGGGATCTTCAACGAGTTAGATTTTGAGTGACCATTTACGAACACTACAATAATTCCAATAATTTGTCAAATAAATAAATAAATGGTGATAGAATGAATGAATGGAGACTCCGTGTTCACGAAAAACGGACAGAGTTACTCTTACAATTAGTACTCACGATTTAGAGAGGGGGGGGGGGGGGGGGGGGGGGGGGGGAGGAAGGGCACCAACAAATTCGATTTTGAGTGACAATTCACGAACGGTTCACAAATTTCTCCAATAAAGTGGATGGATGGATGGATGATGGATGATGGATGGATGGATGGATGAATGGATGGATGATTGGATGATGGATGGATGGATGGATGAATGGGTGGATAGGTGAGGTAATAAGGTAGAGCATTAACTTTTATTTGCGCATATACGAGTATACTACTAAACGAACCCGGGGCCCTGTACTCCATCCGAGGTATTCCTACCACACAAGATGACGCCGACTTATATAACTGTGAGAAACACGACACGTGATTACCACCCCCCCTATTCAGACCTCCCTCATGGGGACATGAGGACAACACAGCCCAAGAATATGTGCTTCCACCGCCGTCTCGCTCCCCGACTTTCTTGATCATTGTGTGCACACGAATAGAGGGATATTTCCAATGACGTCACTAGCCCTGAACACTACATTTAAACAACGCTTTTTTGTTTTGTTTTTTTGCTTTGTGTGTACATATATAGGTATATTTGATAATGGGTGAGTGATATACGAGTTTGGTTATAACGCCGCATTGGGCAGTTGGTCTGGTATTAAAAAGATACATGCGTGAAGATTCCGGGTTAGAATAAGTCTTCAGCATCCCATGATTAACGTAAGTGGCGACTAACGGTAGGTCAGGCTCTCTGACTTGGTTGATCCATGTCATCGTATCCTAACTGCGTAGATCGAACCTCATGATGTCAATCACTGGCTTGTCTGGTCCAGATTCGATTATTTACAGACATCCGTCATATAGCTGGAATATTGCTGAGTGCGGCGTTAACAAACAAACATGCGTGCGTGTACTTCCAGACCCGCAGCTACCCCCCCCCCCCCCCCCCCGCGTCCGTGGAGAGACGTGTTGGACACACTGCCCACATCTAATGAAGCTGATCTGTCAGTCTAAGATTTTTTAACAACCACAATCATCCTTCATTAATCCAAGAAAACTCACCCTCGGTTATCATAAAAGAAAAGAGATGCAGTACACTGGATAATCGAGAGTGATGAAAACTGGGTCCACAATAATGATATGTGTATATACAAGATGCAATTTTATTAATTTGCAAAGCGGAAAGTGAAATTAGTGTGAATGTTGGTTTGCCTGAGCGAATATATTGTCATTACATTGTCATTACACATGTCGGTAGACAGAGTTGTCTGCCCTGGCTGTAAAAGGATGTCCTGGTTGTTGGGGCGAGACCTCGTCAGCACAATATACTCCCGATCAGAGCCTTCTCAACTTGATAACCTTTCCCACAAACTAATCATATATATGCGTCCCTCCCATAATACCACATCGCCGTGATGAATTAAGCTGACATTAAGAGCAATTAAAAAATATTTTGATCATGTTGATTCTGGTCAGCAGAGTTCTTATTATAGCAACAAGGATGTTCAGTATCCAACAATCAGTTCGTTCGTCTCTATCTTCTTCAGTCGCTTGTCGACCCAACAACGTGCGAAATAAGCGCCTGTCTAGTAGCTATGGCTACTTTCTTTTATTTTCAAAATCCAGGTAGCCGACTGGCTATTATTTTTTGGGGGGCCGCCTCCGTGGTCTAGTGGTAGAGCGTCCGCCCGGAGAGCGGAAGGTCCGGGGTTCGATCCCCGACCGCGTCATACCAAAAGACGTTAAAAGATGGTACTTGTTGTTACCCTGTCTGGCGCTCGGCAATAAGGGGCTAAAACAAGGACTGGTCGGCTCGGAATCAGTATACTGTGTCTGAGTGGGGTATTCATGTTAAACTGCGGCATGGTATCTCAGTGGGCTAGCACTATAAATCGGCATCAGTCTGGACTAGTACAAGCAGCCACACAAACACACACACGTACATGCACGTCGCTATATAAGTGCAATAATCTTGGACGCGACGTTAAACCCCATTTCACCTCACCTCACCTATTATTTTTTTCCTATCAAGAGAACTTTAATAAATAAACCTTCCTCTCTCACCCCAAATAGAAAATGTTCACTTGAAAAATAATACCAGTTTCTGAAATCAATAGTACCTCTAGTTGCTAAAGTGTCACAAGCCTGAGTGTTACTTGAAATAATTTGTCCATCTATATGCTAGAGAAGAGTTGTCCCGGTAGGGTTAAACAACTGCACACATACATCTGAATCTTTCTAGTAAAACAATGATATGGCTAGCCCGAGCGGCAAGTCCTGATAACAAATATTTAAATAGAAAAAAGTTGCACAATATGTTGTGAAGAATACTGATATGGTTAGTCATAGTCATAGTCAGTTTTTAATTTCTTTCATTTAGTTATACCATCTTGGTACACCAGCATGGTATGTTACTCGTATATCTTGCTTGAAATGAATATTTGTTGATTTATTAATACATTATAATTTATGTATACTCACGAGCGTTATATTCTGAAATTGTGAAATAAAACACTGCAACAAAGAAAACTACGCGTAGTTGCCTCATTTTTGCATCGTCATGGAAGACTACCAACCATATGTAGCTAGTCACGAGGGAAGTAGTATTTGAAGTGATTCGGCGAATTTCGCTTTACTTTGTGCAAGATAGTAATTATTTGTTTAGATAAGATAAATGCAGCTAGTAAATGAGATTACAATACCCTGGGTGTTGGTGGCTGCAGTACGCACATGTTTTTTAGCACAAACAAGGCAGATGTCGGCTATTTCCGGGTCGGTGCGCGACCTCACGGAAACTACCGAGGTTTGCCGAGAATAGCAAAAACAGTTCGGGGGTGCAATATGTCAATAGTGCCGGAATCGATGTGAGTGAGAGAGGTTGTTTTAGCGAATATTCATGGAAAATGCCGCCCTCCTTGGTGATCCTAGGGGGTTTGGTGTTCCTGGGATGTTTCAGTGTTTCCCTGTCCTATCTCAATCTGTACATGGACGCGGCGGAGACTTTACGATTGTTGGGTAAGTCAAAGCATGGATTTGTGTTACAGACTGGACCATGTTTTTCGACAGAGGCATTCTCCAAGAGAATCGAGCCGTCACGTCGGATGTGCTGTGTTTGCATTCGCCAAGTTTGTGATTATTTACATTGTTTCTGACAGTACAGCAGCCCCATAGCTCGCGATAGACGGTCGAATATTGTTCTATGAGCAAAGGGAAATGCCCAAACTTGAAATCAACCAGACCCCCTTCCTCGCTGACTTGACTTGACCCCCATAGGAACTCCGGTCCCCCCTCGCGCTGTAAATGGCTCCGATTGTGGCCCGATTTTTGTTTCAACTCAAATCACATCACAAACATGGTCATTTGAGCGTTGTCTACACAAGTTCAACACAAAAACACACGCACGTGAGCAACTGTCAACTTCATTCAGAAACTACTGATAATTTCCAGGCTTTAAAATCGATGGAGATGTTTCTCAAAATTAAATTGACGTTTAATTTTATTGCATATGTGACTCATCTTGAATTGACAGGGGGTGATAAGAAATATTCCCGACAATGCCTGCATCTAAATTACCTCATTCCATTAAACTGGGCTGGAATTACCTTAACGTGCATAGTTAAGTACCAGGGGTTACTGCGGAATTAAAGTGTCAGATAATAAACGCATGACTATAAATGTTAGATTAAGAGTCAAACCTGTAACAAAATCAAGGTTGCAATCTGCTGCCAAAATTGAAAAAGATCCTAAAGTATGAATATTAAAGATATTGAAATGAAATGAATAATTTCATGATTTGGGCTGTACAAAACAATCATTGACTGAGGTGGTTTCATTACACATGACCATATTATCTTACTATACAATATTTTAAACAAATCATGCACTGTTATCGCTATCTTGAAACTAACAGTAAATTTTCAAAGTTGTGATGAGGACACGGAGGTTGAAATAGTGTCAGTTGTTTACAGGTAACTTATCCCCTTATCAACACCGGACCAGTAGCGGAACTATTAAGATAGTACTGCAAAGTGGCAACCTATAACAGTAGTTGACAGGGGACTGTGATATACCTGATGAGTCAATCAACCTAACGAGCACTAAATTGCATGGCAAATAAACCTGCCTGAACTCCATTGATCACTCGAGGGTCTTTATTGTTCTTTTATCAGTGAGATTATAATTGCCCCATTTACTGAAGTAGTTGCCCTAGGTTTTAATCTGGCTGTACCTGAAGTTGTGTATGTCAACCGGGAATGAATATGTTGCTGGTGGACTCTCCAGCAATGATGATGAATGACGTAAATGTTATTTTGTATAGAGGTGAAATAGCTATGGAAGATTTTTAAAACCATTTCCACTGAATTAAACTTGTGTTAATAATCTATTTTGAAAATTGTGAATTTTTTTGTATCACAGCATCGGGTCAGCAGGGAAAGAAGTTTAAATCCTATTGTTGTAATGTACATGCAATTGTATCATGTGTATTGCAGTCTTGGTCTGGTGGTGAGACAGTATGATGGAGTGGACAATTGAATTATAATTTCAATATTGGCGTAAGGTGAATGTTTGAACATGAAAATAAATCACTTTGGCAAATGACAACCTGTCATATTGGAAACTGTCAGTTGTAGCAAGAGAAATGTGTTGAGGTCACGACTCAGTATGTAGATGGATAGTAGGTATTGCTGTCTGTTGTATGGTTTCATGGGTGTAATTGATTGAACTAAAGTGTTGTATGGAAGATGTTTGAACTATTCCTATTGTAAATTGGAATGTTGTAAAGGTTTGGTAAAAGATACCTGCTCTGTTAAAAAGCTGTAAGTCTCCGCCGCGTATTTGTATTGTGTTTTGAGCGAGAGGATGGATATCGACTCTTCATATCAGTTTGTTGATGTTCTTATTGTTTGAAATGGTAGATATTTATCACAACAAGTTGAAGAGAATAATGTAGTGTAATCTGTACACTGAAACAAGTTCTGGACAATGGACAGGTATTTAAATTTGTCTATTTTGATAACATTTCCATTTATGCATTCACAATAGTGGAAATGCTCTTTTAGAATGATGAGCTTCACCCAATTTGAACTGTGTGTTAGTGTTTGTGAAAGTTGTTAGTTTCAATGAAACTGCATCTAACTGCCAATAATAATGTACTCGTTTGAGATGCCCCTGTGTTCTGTGGAAATATACTGCAATTATTATTATTATTATTATAAAACTATATGATTTTAAACTTACAATGCTTAGTCTGTTAACCTGTGACGGAAACATAAGCCCACACATTTTTTATTTTTCATTTCACAGGCCCGCCATCCCTTCTTAATAACAGCCGATCTAAGAAAAAAATTAAACTTAAAAATATTTATTTTTTCCTGCTAGTCATATAGACCTTATACAATATAAAATGTTATATGTAAATTCCATGTCTACATCACTATCCGTGATTCAAGTAGCCAGCTGCAACTCCACAGCAGAATGACTTTCTTATAAATAAATAAATAAATTAATAATTGACATTTATATTTATTTTTATTTCGACCAACCTTGTGTTGCAAACTGGAATAAATCTATGAAACATAAAATTTAAAAAGTATGGCCTAAGCTCTGTGGTTCGGTATCTCTATCTCAAGGATACAAGGAAAGTATTCAAACTCGGCAGTGTCCCCGGGTTAGAGTATCATTTGATCGGGGAGGAATCGGGGAGAAATATTCCACATCCATTAACTGTTTGCCCTCATGTTTGCAGCTATATATTATATATTTTTATGAAATGTAAGAAATAAATATGCTTTAAAACATTGTCTACTTTGTGGATCATGTGATGTTATAAATTAGGATCATAATGTTTATTGTTTAGTTGTGATTTCACAGACTGTGGGGTTGTAATTGCAATGCCAGCGATGGGTGTGGAAGAATGGACGTGACTATTTGGGTAACAGTACTACTTCATGGGCCTAGACAGACTCAGGTTTATGCTTCGCTTTAACACCTTTTTCTGAGGGAAAGAAATTTTATTGTTATTGACTCGATCAACTTGGCTGTGAAAAGAAAATAGGGCATGCTATTGGATTAAATGTTGCATGGCTTTTCTCATAAGTATCATTAACTTACTTAGCATTTCGGAGTTTTTTCGCTTGTGAAGTAGAGCTACGGCGAACCAGAAAGTACTGACAGTGCTAAATGTAGATTGTGATTTTGTAACCCACCCAGCGATATAAGATAGGTGAGGGCTGTGGAGGCCTGATCCCTTTGTACTGATGAAGTAGATGCTTGGTTGGCCTCATATCGGACTCGGTGGGGAGTCGCCACTGAATCAATGGAGAAAAGTTTTTATAAAATTACTGGGATCTGCCAAGTTTGTATGTTCGGTTAAAATCCACTTACAGGAATTTTATTATTTTTTAATTTCCATTTGACCCAGTGATGAACAGGGTCCTGAGGCTTGGGACCAGTGTATTTTAATGGAATGCATAACAGGCAACTATGAGAATGATCCGACTGGTTTAAGACCTTCAGCTGTGATTTCTAACACCGAGGCCACGCGGTGAGATTGTGTCCTTGTCAATACAGGCCGACAATTTGAATATGTTATTGTTACATGGTCACAATTGTCTGAAGATATTTTGAAACAATTTATGGTTGAAAACATAAGCACTTATTTGTTTTGATTATGAAAAACTGAACAGAACAATACTTTCTTGTTTTCTAATTTGAACTTAACGTAGATCACAGATTATTTGGTCCAGTACAGGTAATAGTGATGACTTGACTTTCTAACTCACACAGATTACTCAGATATTACAAGATTGAGTGAGTATGGTTTTACACCACTTTTAGCAATATTTCAAAATATCAGGACCGGCTTCACACATTGTACCCATATGAGGAATAGAACTCGGGCCTTAGGGTGACGAGCTAACGCTTCAACCACTTGGCTACCGAACCACCCCTGATATTACAAGAGACAGTGTTGCTCCTGCCCTGTGTGTTGGCTGTCAGTACTGTATGGTTAGTGCCATGCAACCACTAATATAGAAATGTAGCAGGGATTGGATGGTGTGAATGGCTGATGGGTGTGACCTCATTGGTTGTGCAGGATGATGCAAAAATAGTGCGTCCTATACGTAAAACAGTTACGAATGGACACAAAAAATATCCACTGCAAGTCCCATTGGATGCAAAAGATTATGGCTTTTGGAGTGATTAAATTGAAATTTGATTTATCTGATATTTCTATTCTGATAAGAAATACAATCATGTGACAGGTTTTCTTAGCTCTTTCATTACGTTTCAATTCCTACAAGAAAATTCCTTTCTAAAAGAGGTATAGCGTCCACCTGGGACCCCCATTTTAATACCAGGGGCCCCAAAAAGTTATTCCCGAGTTTCCAGGACTCGCAAGTATAGACGCCTAGTTGGTCCCTTGTTGTAGTAGACCTGTGAAGATCCGGGTTAGAATGCTTGCCGTAAACACAAACTATGCTTGGAATTAGACGCAACTAACGAGATCGGGGGGGGGGTCAGGCTCCTGACCTGGTTGATGCATGTCATCGTATCCCAATTGTGTGGATTGATGCTCTAAATGTCAATCACTGGATTGTCTGGTCCAGACTGGATAATATACAGACTGCTGTCACATAGCTGTACTATTGCTGATTGCGGTGTTAAACTACAAACAAACAAACTGTGTGGTCCCCTTCGTGTGAGCACCCCATCAGCTGCAGCTGCCTCTGGTGCGTGTTCCCTATATGCAGCTAATGCTGTCATATTAGGCCACAAGTCAATTAATTATTAGAATTTCACTTACATTTTTAAAAAATGAGACTGAAAGCAATATATTTTTTTATATTTATCTGTTTTAACAAAATGTTCAAGGCATCAGTGTACACTATTGTTCGTTTTTTGTTTTACGACACACTCGGCAATATTCCAGCAATATGAAAACAGTCTGCAAATAATGGAGTCTGGACCAGGCAATCCAGTGATTAACATCATGAGTATCAAACAATGCAATA